ACTTGCCTATTTGATTTGCAAATAAGACCCCTCCATAGAGAAACTACGATCTGATCTGCAATAATTTTATGCAATGACTTTAGATTTTCATAGAATAAAGATAATTTGAGATATATTTATACTCTGTGAAGTATTTTATTTTATGGGATAGAAAATTATTATGTTTACCCTGTTAAATTTTTAAATAATCCACATCTAATAGTGTGTGTTCATCATCATATATATACATACATATGTCAAATTTGAGATTGAAGTTACCTTGGATTTGTTTTATATTGTTATTAGAAGTGTTGTACCGAAGCATATTTGTGTGCCACCAATAATATTTCCATTTAAGTAATATTTTACAATTGTCGAGAAAAATCAAATAGGAGAAAGTTATACATGATATTAAATATGCTGTTTAGGATAATTAACATGCTTATCCCCCTTTACATGTAACTCTGATAAATTTGATAGCGGTATTTAGGAAAGACAAAAGTGAAAATATTTCTGAATAAATAGATGTTGAGAAAATTAGCAATTTTACATGTTAAAGACGATAAATAGCAAGAAGATGGGGTATCCCAGTTCGGTTATTCTTGAGGAGAAGAAGAAGAAAAATAATTAATTGGCAGCCATTCTAGAACTAAGGTATAGTGAATTCTTCACCGGAGAATTAAATGATTATGCTATTAATTATTTAGCCATCTCCCGGTTGTTGTCGGATTGACGTCGTTGATTGGAGTATGAGGAGATTTCAAGTTCAAGAATCGTAGGCTGTTCGTTCGAATCCCACCAATTATGCAAGCTGCTCGGTCAGGACGACATGTATAAACCAAATGTCTGAATTCATGGACTCGTAGGGTGTTATATGAATTTTCCGATATCCGCATCTCCAATCCTACGTTTTGAATTTAAAAAGAAAAAGAAAAGGAAAAAGAAAAGAAAACCCTTTACACAGAAAAGTTGATTGGAAAACCACCTAACAATTGCGCTGCGGAGGCCCCATTATTACGAAAACTGATGGCGATTGAAATTATGGAGACTTTATTGTCCAAACATTATTTTGGGTAAAAGAAAGTAATCAAAACCACCACAAAAACGACTAATGAGATGCTTAATTTAGCAAAAGCCAACTTGGAATTGTACGCCCCCTACGATTCTGCTAATGGACCTAAAACTCAGACGCCGGAATTGCAGGTCGGCTGAGTCGCCAACATCACAGCTTGATTCCTCCTTTGTTGCTTTGTCTATATTCTTAAATTATTCTTTTTCTAATTCTTTTCTTAATTACAAGAGCTTAACCATATCATAATCGACAAATATGTATCACTAAAAGCCTATAAGAATATAATCTCTGCTTTATCAGAAAAATATCGCCATATTATATGTTACCAAGGAGGAATCCGTCGAGGACATATCGCGGCACTTGATCACGCAAGACGAATATATCATGCCAAATCGAAAAGTTCATTAGACAGGAGAATCCAAGTTGCATTTGTATGGTCTCGTTAGGTAAAAGCAGCAGAATCTCAATACTTCGTGATGGTGACATCGCTCCAAAGGAAATTCACATTCGAACCCATCAACTCAAACGTATCTAATGGAACTTGCCTCCACTTTAAAAGCTCCAATAATTGAGGGCAAGATTACCCCGTCAATCCTAAACCTATTGTCTCGGATGCTACTTCAATCTTAAACTTCCAATGTTGCCAATTTAGTATTAAACTTTTGCACATTATTCCACTGGAGTCTTTACGGTCAATTTGAGTTGGAAATCTCTGACGTAGCAATCCAGTTATCGTTGGCCGTCCTACGTGACACACCACCACATTAGTAATTTCTGGCGAAAATTGATCGGAATGACTACATTGGAATTTCGCACAAATTTTTAGGGCTAAATGGACAAAATTAGAAAGTTTAAAACTAAATTAATACCCTCGTGATTGAGATATAAACCAACTTAGATAGTAATGACTCGAATTGGACCACTAAGGTTAGGCTTTGAGATGTTGCACATCATCGCACGACCTAAATTATTTTCCCTTTTTTTTCTTTTTTCTTCTTTCCTCTTTTACGCTTCCTTTTTCATGAGACAAAATCTCATCACAGCATCACACATGCACCTCCTCTGCCGTTTCCTCGCCATCACCTCCACTCCACCGGCCTCCATACGAGCCACACGATACAATCGCCAACGTTTCCAATGCCTCCACAGAATAAGGTTGGGCAACCATTTATGGCCACCTCAAGCTCCCTCGGCCTTCATTGAGAGATAGAGGGAGGTGCGTGGAGCAATAGAGATGATTCAAATGTAAGACTAAAACTGAAGGATTCTAATCATGCATAGAGGAACAAATTTTAGGCACAATTAGAATCAAATGCGGAAAACAGAATTGAAGATAAACTGACCTTCAGCCATTGTTCAACTTTACATTCGTCGAAATTCCACGGTAGTTCGACGTTAATTTGAGAGCGATTACGGGCGCACTCTACTAACCCAATCCCCTCACGTACTGATGGTGTATTACCAAATGAGAGGGTTTGCGTTAGACCTTGTGTATACCCTTATGGAATGAACGTTCATCTTTATAAACCGCTTCCCATCAAGGCGGTTACTGAAGAGAGCGGTTGTCACTGAAGGGGTACGAAGCGTGGAAAAACCGTATGTGGATAACCGTCACTTAAAAGAGAAAACGTGGGTCAAACCCAATGGATAAGTTTTTATTTCAAAAACTATATCCCTAAATGTGGGATCACATTATAAATATAACATCAAAGACTGAGTGGATTGAGCGGTAATGGAGGCACAATGCAGGTGTGGTGGCGGCACAAGAGTAAGAGGAGAGAAAGTGAGATAAGAGAGATTCGGATTATGTCTAGGTTCGAGGGTAAATCCCTATAATAATAGGGACATCTCGGTTATTGTGAGATTACTGCAACTTGGTCCTCCACTTGCAGAGAATTGATGTCCTAACTAATTTACACCTTGTTAATTATTAAGGTGCACACATAACATTATCGAGTGATGCATGAAATCCCACATTGGATAACCGAGATGGGAGATGGAGCAGTTAATGAATCTAATCTAGTTGCTAATATCTCAACTCCCTAAACTTATGAGTAAAAGTTGATCGAACTACATGTCAACAAACTCAAACCCTAGCTCCCTCAACGTGGGGGACTTGACGATACTCTCGACAAAGTACACTTGAACAGGTGACAAAAATGGTCTCGTCAAGCTTTGTATTTTTTACTTATCGTTCGATTTCCTAAACCAACCAAAGAATGAGAAAACCGGGCGACACCAAACATTTACTTTACCCCAGAGAAAAGGGAAGACAACAAAAGGAGGGGGAGAAGGTGGCGCTGTGTTCCCCTCTCCGACCGCAACACATAATACGCCCCAGATCATTGTTCACATGTCCCATGAAAATGCGCCTCTTTTTCGCTGCACAAATTACTCTACTCTACTCTACTCTCTCTCTCTCTCTCTCTCTCTCTCTCTCTCTCTCTCTCTCTCTCTCTGTGTACCTCAGTAATTGAACATGCATCAAAAGCAGAAACCACATTCAAAAGACCAAAAGAAAACCCACACACACGCACCAAGCAAGAACAGAACAAAAAGGAAAATAGAAGAAGAAGAAGAAGAAGATGGGTGTCATTTTCGTTGAGAAACGAAAGAGAATTCTAGCAGCAACCTAGGAACATCCCTCCCTCCACATCTTCATTGGCAAACATTAAGAAACACTGATGCTATTGATAGAACCCAATGACGTAAACTCTTTTTTTGTCCTCAACTTGCAAGCAATATGGTGAGCTGAAGCAGCTGATGTCATTAAGCAAAACAGCTTCTCATGAATTCCTAGTACTTGATTTTCTGTGTAAGTATCGTCGATGGATGTTCATAACTTTATATACATATAGTATGTTCTTAATGTTGCAGTCACGTGGCGATGCAACTTCTTAAAGTAGTTGTAAGTTATGTAAAATTGGCTCTAAAGCTTGCAAAGAATTACGGTGCAACAGGAAAGTCGTCGCCAAACTACTCCCCGGGCACTTTTCGTTTACCCACGTTCATAGAGGTGAGATGGGCAGCAAGTAAAACCATGACAGGAGAACCTCGTAGAGAAAATGAATTGATACCTATAAATGTTTCATGACTTTTTTTATTTTATTTATTTTTTTTGGTAAGGATGTTTCATGATTTTTTGGCTAATTATAAATGCTAAAATTATATGAACAAGTTAAACTCATTTTATAAAAAGGCCATGTTAACAAATGTCCAAGGTTACTTATAAATCATATTTAATGAGAAACCGTTTGGTCGTCAAAATATTATTAGAAATAATAAGTGCCTTTAGACATTACAAATTGTTTTATTTGATCATAACATAGTTGTCTTAGGGACATTTTTGGACATTTTTGCTCACAAATTGCTGACAAAAACACAGGCGGTAAAATAAATCATTTTTGGCGAAGTAGCTGATAAAACAAGCAGGATCGGAGTTTCTTTCTCTCTCTTTTCTTTCAGGGGTCACCACAAAAATAAAAAGGTAGCGGGTTTTCCGGTGCAAAGATGCAAAAAGCTGGCACACGACACGTGGCGCCAAACCGTCCGTCGGATTGGAATGAGAGTGTCGTCCGAAATCGTAGTTGGAGATTAGAAACATGAAATCCGTAGCCAACGCGAGAGAGAGAAAGAGAGAGCGAAAGAGAGAGACAGAGACAGATTTTGGCTCTCTCACACTTGCTCGCTCTCACCCCAAAAAGAGCTCAATCACCTGCAACAAAACCAGAAGACACAGAGGAGAGAGGGAGAGAGAGGGTTTGTGTGCTGTGTGTGTATGTGTTTGATGGATATGTCGAGACTTAAATGGAGGTAGCAGGAGATTGCAGATACTGAGAGGGGAGAGAGAGAGAGAGAGGAGGGACGACCCATGGCGGCGTCGCAGGGCGAGAGAGAGCTGTAAATTCCATGGCCCTTTAATGCAAAGAGTAGAGAGGCAGAAGAAAAGGGAGAACAGCGAAATGAATTGAAGGCTCTGCCACAGAATCGTCCGACGTGTGTCTCGCGAAAAAACCCATCAGCAATTACGCACACCCAACTCCCTCTTACCATTATAATCCATTAAGCCTCGCTAACACAAACAACACCCATTTGAACTGTGTTTGAATTCTCCATCTTCTAGGGTTTTTCGACTTGTGGAAGAGGAAGGAGGAGGAAGATAGGAGGATCGTGTGCTCTGATATGGATTTGAATTCCCGGTCGGAATCAAGATTTGCCCGGTCAATAGTCGCGAAATGGCTGGGTTCATTCCACTAGGAGGAGGAGGAGGAGGAGGAGCTGCTAGATCAGCAGCAGGAGAAGGAGGAGGAGATCAGCAGATCAACCACCCACAAGCCACGGCCGCTACCGAGATTCCTTGGTTCTGGTACTCAAGAAGCAACGCGGACGACGTCGGGACGTCTTCGGCTTACAAGGGTTTGGAGCTATGGCATCAAAACCAACCGCAAACCCAACCACAGCTACACTTCTTCTCGCAGCAGCAGCAGGATCTCTACGCGTCGGCCGCGGGCCTCGGGGTGGGGCCAAGCGGAGGCGGCGGCGGCAGCGGTAGAGCCTCGATCAACGTGTTCTCCGACGAGAGCTCGAGATCGGGAGGAGGCTTCACGACATCGACCTCGGCGGCGACAACAGGCGGGGGGGTGAGAGGGGGAATCAGTTGCCAGGACTGCGGCAACCAGGCCAAGAAGGACTGCCCGCACCTCCGCTGCCGGACCTGCTGCAAGAGCCGCGGGTTTGAGTGCTCGACCCACGTGAAGAGCACGTGGGTCCCTGCGGCGAAGCGGCGGGAGCGGCAGCAGCAGCTCGCCGCCCTGAAGGAGCACCATCACCACCACCCGGAGCAGCGGCTGCAGCTTCGAGGCGAGGCCCCGAAACGGCAGAGGGATGATCACGGGAGGCCTAACACCTCAGGTATATATATGTGTACATGTCCATGCGTGTGTTTGTGTGTGCGCTTCTTCTTCTGTGACTCTGGGCAAGAGAATTAGTCAACTGTTTCGGCTTTCGGGATCACTCTCTGCAGAAAAGAGCAGGATGTAGAGAGTCAGAGATTTAGTGGGCTTGAGTTGAGATAAAGAACATGTTTTTAGTTATTATTATTACTTTTAGTACCCAACGAGCAAAGGATCGTATCATTTGCGTGTGCGGTGATCGACCTCCATGAGAAATCTGAAACCCCATCATTCTCTTTTCTTGGGTTTTTTCTTTTTTTTTTGCCTTATCTGTTTCCCTTTTCCAACATACTGTTATTTAGTATTCCTGACGATTGGTTTGACAGAAAGGAAAGCGCGCTCTCTCTCTCTCTCTCTCTCTCTCTGTCTCTGGGAGAGTGTCTGTGCTGATTTATATATTTGTCCCTAGTCTATGCGTGTATTCTTCATCATGCTATTTTTCATATCTGTGACAAAGGATTTTCTAGGTGAATTCCATTCCATTGCAGAAGCAGAAAGTTGTGGTTCTTTTGTCAAAACAAAGCTCGTGAATTTTTTCGCGTGTGATAAAGATATAAACGATATATATTGTGTCATATATATGCGCTGACCGTACCATTGATCTTTTCTTTGTCCTGATCTCTAGGGTTGGAGTTAGTCGGCAGCTTCCCAGCCGAGGTGAGCTCTCCGGCGGTGTTCCGGTGCGTGAAAGTGAGCTCCGTCGACGACCCCGACGAGCAGTTCGCGTATCAGACAGCTGTGAACATCGGAGGTCACGTCTTCAGAGGGATTCTTTATGATCATGGACCCGATCACCCCGCTTACACCAATGTGGCCGCCGGAGACTCTTCTTCCGGTGGTGGTGGTGGAGGACTAGTTCAGCCTCTCGACCTCATAACTGCTGCAGCCACCGCGGCCGCATCCCCCATCACCAATGCCGAGAGTGTGCACGTGCCATCCGCGACGGCACCGTTCTTCGACACGTCTTCTTTGTACCCGCCTCCGATCAGCACATACATGGCCGGTACGCAATTCTTCCCACACCCAAGATCTTGACACAAACATCACATTCGTTGCATTATAACTCTTAGTCATAACCCTCTCTTCTCTTCTTTCACTCTCTCTCTCCCTCTCAATATGAAAGGAGGCAAAATCTTTGAGAGAATGTCATTGCTGTTGTAGTAGAAGTAGGAGTAGTATGGTAGCTCATCATTTCACAAATCCGTTTGAAAGAAGGGTAGAGAGAGAGAGAGAGAGAGAGAGAGAGAGAGAGAGAGAGAGAGAGAATGTGGAAGACATAGGTTTTGGTTACGATCTTTTGTTTTTCTTCTCCTTCTTGGGAATCATTGAATCTTTGTACGAGATAACTTCAATTGTTTGTGCTCTCTCTCTCTCTCTCCCCCCGTCTTTTTTGTTGTATTTGCTTTTGGATGTTGTGGCCTTTCCATTCTTGGGTCGATCTTGATTACATGTTATGGGTTGGTTCTTGGAGTTCGAAACTCTTTGCATGCGCCTTTCTTTCCTCGTTTACCGGTATGGTTGTCGATCTCACATGGGGAAAGAACATCTTTTTGTCGTTGTGGGGGTATGGGGTTGTCCCAATTTATTATTTGCATGTGTTGCTGGTTTCGAATGAATGTGATGGATCTTTACTCAAAGTGACCCTCGTGTATCCCCCGAAATCCAAAAAAGATTTGAATGCACTAACTTCTTATAATATATCGCCAAATTTTCAAGCCATTCTCAAGAACAAATACCTTGTTCTTTCGTTGTGAGTTTGTCCCACGTTGTCTATGGTCTTTAGTTATGATTGGCCATGGATAGATGTTGCTGGTTCTTGCATGAAGGTCATTTGCTTACACTTGGATTCTCGATGCACCAATAGAGATTGGGCAGGTTTTGTATGATACTGACTTGGCACGGAACAAAGAGTTTTGACCTAATCTGCAATTATATAGTAGCAAGCTTCTTCCCTTCGAAAAGGAAAATTAGAAAAAGACCACATGAAAACTTACTCAATTCGATGTATGAACTGTTATCCAACACGAATGCTCGAGCAAAGCACTCGTACCAGGTTCTGGTTTCGCAATCCCTAGGAGATAGAGAGAAGAAAAACTTAAACTATGTATAAATCGTTAGTTTATTGTTTTTAGTACGTACACTCTCCTTTTGATGATTTGATTTGACTTAATACTAGGGCTTCTTGAATACTGACACCTCGAGTTACTCCCTCCAATTTTTTTTTTATATTGTATCTCAGTATTGCTGTTGTACGGGCCTTAATTAAGCCAACTTGGGAATTATATATGGATTCTTGTAAATGACTCTATTCACCTATTAAGATAAGGGTAATGTTCTGGCCGGGAAATGAAAACAAGATCACGGTATATGTCTTTTGAAATCGATGTCAAATACCCATTTATAATCTCAAGGATCGTGTTATGGGGTGACCTTAGGACATTTTTTCAGCTTAGGGAACTTAGTAAGCATGCATTAGAGTAATTCATTTCTTAAACGATTAATTACATGTAATACGAGAGCGGTCAATATGTTGAACATCTTGTCTTTGATCAATTACCTATTAAGTGACTCTAGGACATTTGTTAACAAAGTTCTAATTTTAGAGCGATTTATCATCATCTTGATCCTGCAAATTATAAGGATCCATATTTTCTCTCTCACCTTTCTCCTTAATTTGTCTTTCGAGGGCATATGGCCCTTTCTTTGTCGTCCGCCATCTCTCTGTCGCCCCCCTCTTTCCCTCACCATTATAATCTGATCATGTATCTTTCTGAATTGTCCTTAACCATATGAAATCAAAATACAAGTTGGTAGCTGTAGTATATCAAACCAAGCTGCGATGTCGATTTGGTTTTCCAAACCACATCGCATTAGGTCGCTGTCGTTAATTCGGGGATTACTCTAGTATTTTTCTTAATGGATGCGGTAATTTTGCGCATGATTTGTGAATTATAACTGCCCTAGTGTATCACGTTAGCAATTATTGTACAAGGGCTAAAAGTCTAAGGTTTTGGTGTCGACATGCATTGTTTTTTGGATTGATATAGGGTGGCTTATTAGTTTCACCTTCATAATTCCCATGGAAAAGGGAAAGCACACGAATGATGAATCAAAAGATTCATTCTCTCCAAAGTTTATTATCGTGAAAGAGGGAACAATGCCAATATCTCAAAGACATAATGCAATTGCAAGAGTTTTGTAAAAATTTTGAAGAACATGATGCATTCATTTCCTGTGTTATCTCCGGGCGATACCTCTAGGGTTTCCTCTTCCATATTCTTCATTCTATTTCATGTTGTGCTAACTCGGAGCCATATTTTGTTTTCACTTACTAAACATGCTTAACAAAAATTGAAAATAAAATTTGAAATGGTATTCTTGATATTGGAAATAACAATCGAAGAAAAGAAAAAATTCTAAAACCAAACGATTCACAAATCTTCATTAGAAAACAAAACGCAGCGAACAATGACATAGTAAGACCAATGAGAGTTTCATTGACCAATGAATTAGGGTAGAATGTAGGTGTCATCATGTGCGAGTCTCGTGCCTATCTAGCGTAACTAGGGTGTGCCTAGGAGGATAATGTTTTGACATGACAGTACATTGCTATGAGGACAAATAATTATTGTTGAGACTCAGCTTCCAGAAGTTTTGGTAGGTTTATGACTCTGATTGAAACAATAGTTTGTCCAATATTTCACTGAAGGACCACCCATCAAGATAGGTTGAATGGAGTTTGATAATTTGTGCGCAATTATGCAGCAGAATTCATTCATGAAGGTCCATATGATCGATAAATGTCAGCTTTATGCGTTATAGCCACCGCAACACTTGACCACCAAGTAGACTTTCTAGCAGTGAGCTGTAAAGTTTATTAGGTACAAAAGACCCTAGATTTCACACACACACACACGCAGGGATCAAATGGTTTCGTCTTTATGGCTGTATGCTCTGCTGTTATCTGATGAATCGTAGAGATTGATTTTGTTTTGTTTTGTTTCGTTTCGTTTTTTCTTTCAATATAAGGGAGGATGGTGCTTGAGAGGAAGGTATAGATATGATATGAGCGAGGTGGAGAGCTGCTAGCTTAGTTAGATGTGCATTCATGCTTCAATTGATCCGACGTATTGCAACTTTGATATGACTATAATTCAATAACCTTTTTGGGGGCTCAATATCTATGGAAAATCATGTTTTTACCAGTTTAAACCATAATGGATAAGCTTAAAGTAGGAGGATCAATAGAGTGTAAAATGGGAAGTTTGGCTTTCGTGGGATAATTACCAAGAAAATCCCTAAACCTATTATACGGATATCAATTTAATTCTAAACTTTTCAATTTAGCGAACTTAGTCCTAAATCTTTTTGACGATTTGCCAATATTTATGAAAAATCATGTATTGCAAAAAAAAAATTTACTTTTTTTCTTTTTTCTTTTTACTTTTTTCCTTATTTCCCTCCACCAGTCCACGACCTCGACGAAGGTCGTCGGCCACAGGGAAGGGCCGGGACACCCTCGCCGAATCTAGGGGAGGGCATCACTATGGCTGGAAAGGGATTCGGGTGTGGGCCATGACGCCCTCTCCCAATGCTGGCCCACAGTGAAAGAAAAAAAGAAAGAAGAGAAAAGAAATAAATAAATTTATTGAAATTTACAAATTTTAAAAAAATTACAAAAATTGTCCATGTCAATACCGCCGGTGTAGACTAGGATGATTGGTGTTTACATCAGCAATTTCCGATCAAAATTGACCGGAAAGACTACATTATCAAATCGTTAAAAGCTTTAGAACTAAATTAGCTAAATCAAAAGTTTGCAACTGAATTGGCTGTCAAAAGTTTTTTGGTAATTTTCTTCGTCTTTTGGTCTTAGTTAGCCCTATGCCATTCATTTCCACAAATTTAATTGGATTTTGGTAAAATAATTAAACATAACCATGACACAGTATTTGTTAAAGGTGAGTACCAGCTTATAGACCCCCTAACGATAAATATTTATTTTTTTATCGATATCCTGACATTAAAAGTCTGATGAGAGCAAATTAAGCGATTTTGAGGATAGATCTGATTATGCTAATTTAAATAATTACAATGATCGAATTGAGAATCATGTAGCATATATATACATCCAAGTACACTGACTGTACTGTTATTGAACCTATCCTTGAGAATCCAACCCTAGACGCAAGAGGGCTCCTCTTTCATTAAAATCCACTTGGCCAGTTCACAGAAAAAAGAGTTACCTCAATTGACAAATTGAAATGAATCTGCAATGTGTAGCCCATCATGACTCTTAAATCGACAGTGACTATGCAAGTTTACACGTGGCAACCAGTTGAGGATATTGAGAGTCTAGGAGAATTCATAGTAGTTTCATCAGTACCTGCAACCAGCAAACTAGTCTCTGCATAATTGATTTGGTTGTAGGAGTTGTATATCGTAGAGTCGTGTCCTACTCCAATATGACTCTTGGATTGGTCAATAATCATCATACTAACATCATCTAAGTTTAAGTTTACCTCAAAAAAAGCAGAACCCCAGAAAAAACCCTAGCCATCCATCATCGCCTAGCCACCCTCCCTCTATGTTCCCATTCTCTCGCCACTCCTCTCTGCTTCCCCCCTCTGCAGCACCGCCCTTTGCCCGTAAATTGCTGCCGTGACACCTTCGACCGCTTCGCCCCGCCAGATCGGCCACTTACCGTCACTGCCTATCTCTCTTCCTCCACACAAGAATCGCCTCTCTTATCACTCCCTCTCTGTGTGGCATCAATCCCAGTGGATTCACTCGTCGATCTGGGATCTAGGTAGGGGCAGTCGTTGGTCGGTCATGGCCCTCGTCCAAATTGTGGGCCTTTGTGGGTCTCAGCCGCGCCGCCTAGATCGGCTTGGATCTACCCAGATCTATCCAAGTATAGGCAGTCCGACCAATGAGGGGCTAGTTAGGAGGGAATTTCGAAAACATGACACTTACATGTACTTGAGAATTTGTTCCCTTGAATGTTTGGTAGATCAATAAGTACCTTATAGTAGCATTGAGGCATGGTTACATCTTAAAGCTCATTGCTCAGTGCCGAATTAGTTTTGGTGTTCTCATCTCGCTTCAAATACAAAAATCTTGATTGTTTGATAAGTTTCATGATGATTTTTTCCAACAATCCTATTGGACAAAGAAACTTTAAATTAACTAAACAAGCACTTGATCAACCAACTGTGATTATTCATCATTGGAGGGAAGAAGCAACTTATAAATTAGTGGCACGTGTTATTGGGTGCGCACATTTTGGACTGAAGATATGAAACTTGGTGGATGCATAAATCCCACTTGTGATAGCAAGAGAATATTTTGGAGTGTCTCTAGG